TGGGGTCACGAGCTGTTCCCTCCTGATTAAACCCAGAGGTCCTGGCTCTGGGTCGGGACCCCGACGGTGACACTTCCCGGGGTGCCGGGAGGCACGTCCTGCTCCTGGGTCTCATTATTTGGTGACTTCAGCCCTGATCCTGGCCGAGGGGGACCTGCCCAGATCCTCCAGCGTAGATTTCTGACTCTTCTTTTTGTCCCCAGTGGAGAGTCTCGTGAGGTGGGACCTGAGTCTGTGCAGCTCCGCCGTCCGTGTCCCCTTCAGGCCGTGTTTCAGCAGAGCCGTGGACGCTTCCTTCCTAAGCAGTGATGACAGTGTATCTGCCAGTTGGTGATGGAGTCTTTTCACCTTGCCTCCCGTAATTTTTTTAAAGGTTTTATTTTCAGGGGGAGCCCCGGGTGGCTCAGCGGTTTGGCGCCTGCCTTTGGCCCAGGGCGTGATCCTGGAGTCCCGGGATAGAGTCCTGCATCGGGCTCCCTGCGTGGAGCCTGCTTCTCCCTCCTCCTGTGTCTCTGCCTCTCTCTCTCTCTCTCTCTCTCTCTCTCTCATAAATAAATAAATAAATAAATAAATAAATAAATAAATAAATAAATAAATAAATCTTTAAAATGAATGAATGAATGAATGAATGAATAAGTAAGTAAGTAAGTAATCTCCCCACCCAGTGTGGGGCTGGAATTCACAGCCCGAGATCAAGGGTCACCCACTCTGCACCCCGAGCCAGCCTGGCCCCTCCAGCTCTTCTCAGGGGGGACTCTGCTGTGACACAGAGCTTGCACCTCTGGCCCACAGAGTTCTTTCTTGAAAGCCATATGGACCGGGGCGTGCTGGCTTTACTTGATGGGTCATGATCCATTACTATCATTTCTTTTGGGTTTTTTTAAGATTTTATTTATTCATGAGAGACACAGAGAGACAGGCAGAGACACAGGCAGAGGGAGAAGCAGGCTCCGCGCAGGGAGGCCGACGCAGGACTCGATCCTGGGACCCCGGGCCGTGCCCTGGCTGAAGGTGGCGCTAACCGCTGAGCCCCCCGCCCCGGGCTGCCCTCCTTATTTCTTTTGTTGCACCCGCCGTCCTAGGTTTGTCCACGCGGTGCCACGTTTCAGGGAGGCTCTGAGCGGTCCGCCGCGGAGGGTCTGCGTGTCACCCTGGCCCCGGGCCCTTCCCGGCGCCCCCCGCCCCGTCCTCGTTCACCGCCTTCTCCGGAGCTCCCGGCGCCACCTGGGCCCAAAGCCGGCCTGGCCGTGGCCGTGGTGGGGGCCCAGTGCCAGGCTGTTGAAGTCCCTGCACGTCCTGACACTTAGTCCCGACAGGAGCAACGGGAGAGAGTCCCCACGGGGAGACTGGGGCTCGGGCTGGACGGACCTGGCACCGAGGGTGGCTCGGAGGAGGGCCCTGCCCGCCGCGGCCGGTGGGGGACACGGGCCCGACGAGCCCAGGCCTCCGGCCCGAAGCCCGGCCTTGAGCACCAGCCGCGGTGCCGCCGCCCGGCCTGGGGAGCTACTTAAAAGGCACAATCACAAATCCGAGCCGGCGCCTGGGCGCTGGGCCGCGGGTGGCCTTCGGGGGTGGCCCCGTCCCGGGACCAGCCTGCGTCGCGCTCCCTGCTGGGGCCGCCGTCCCCGGCCCGCTCCGGCGCAGCCTCCGTCTCTAATCGAAGTGAAGCCCGCGGGGCGCGCAGCTGCGGAGGACACCGCGGATCTGGGGCGCGAGGGGCACGCGGAGCCTGACCCGGGGAGGCCGCCCTTCAGCCGCGACCCACTCGGCCGGAGAGAACGCGCGCGACCTCGTTCGGGTCACGGGCCCACGAGGCACCCGCGCTCCTCACGCTTTCAGGCCAGCGGAGGGGAAGCCCCCGCCTCCGCGACACTCCGTGCAAGGCCCGTGTCACCTTCTTCATCCCTTGATGCTTCGTCCTCCGACGCTGGAGTTTGCTGCCCTCCAGGAAGGAGACGAGGCTCAAGACACGATTGTCCCAAAGCCACACAGCAACCTGGTGACCCGGTCCCCCAGCTCCCAAAAGCTGATGCTCTTCAGCTCTCTGGAGACTTGTCAAGGCCCGGGAAGGCGGCAGCCGGGCTCCCCCCCCCGCCCCCACCGGACACCCCGAGTCCACCCGGTGTGGGCCGCGGCATCGGCTGACGGCAGGGAAACCTCGGGAAGGGACGCCGTGTCACCATTTCGCAGCTAAAGGCAGCACGTGGCGGCCTCAGTGGCTTGGGGCACTCGGCGGGTCCCAGGAGACGGCAGCTGGGCCTGTGGGCTCCCACCAGACACAGCCTCCACGTGGGCCAGGCCGCGGGGGGCGGGAGGTCGCACCCGTGGGAGGACCCCCCCCACGCACAGGCCTGCCCGCGCCACGCCGGGGCTTCTGTTGTCCCGAGCGGCCCCCCGACCAGGGCCACCTCTTCCCACCTGCCCACAGGAGCTCCGTCCTCGTGGCTGTTCTCACTGGGGACGCGCTGTGTGGACGAGGAACTGAGTCAACAACCGCATCCTCCGGATCCACGCGATGTCAGCACGTCCATCGCCCCCGAGCGGCCAGCGGTGCAGGGTCCCCTCCGCCTCGGGAGACCGCCCCGGCCTCATGTCCCTACGGACGTGCCCCATGCACACTCCCCCGGACCGGGCGTCCCGTGGGCTACACCCCGGCTGGGCCTTCAATTCGGTCCTCCGGGTCCAGGAGTGCAGCCGCCAGACGGCAGGTGTTTAGCAAATGTCGGTCAGAGAATGGATAGATCCCAGGTAAGGGGCGATCCCCAAAGCTGCTCTCCCCACGGAAGGCAAGTGCAAAAGGCCCCTCCCGGGGGACATGGAACCAAACCTGTCAGAGCCCCGGAGAGGCCGCCCCTCCGGCCTGGCCCAGGCCGCTCCGCACTCTCCGAGCCTGGGCTGCGGACGGGATGTGCCCCCGCCTCCTCCCCCCTCCCCGGGCCCCGTCTCCCCTGCGCCCAGGCCCACGGGGACCCCAAGAGCCGCCGCCGGCCTCAGCCTCCGGACGCCTTCCTGCCCCCAGCCCCTCCCCACGATGAAAACACAAAACCGGCTTCGATCCAACTCAGAGAAGTGCTGCTCGTTCCCTCCAGGTCCCGACACCCGCCGTGGCCGCGCTCGGCGCCAACAGGCCCGTCCCCGGTGGACCCCCTCATGACGGGAGGAACGACCCGGCGCGGGGCCCTTGGGGGTAAGCTAAGGAGCTCTTGGGGGCAGGGAGGCAGGGACTGTCCCCCACCCGAGACGCGGCCAGCGCGGGGGCGGCTGCACTCGCCTAAAAGGCTGAATCTAACCTTGGTGCAGCTGTGAGGGCAGCACCGTTCCCTTGACCGCGAAGGACCGCGAAGGACCGGGAGCCGCTCAGCGACGTCCCCGAGGCCCTGTGCTGTGGGGCCCGCCCGGACTCCGGAGCCCATGCTCTCCGTGACCGGGACCCTCTTGCGATGCCGTGGGCGTCCCGCGCATCCCGTGACGGGGCGGGAGCAGGGAGCAGCCGAAGCTGCTGGCCCCCGGGACACGGCCGAAACCGGCGTGAGCGGTGCCGAGGTGTCACCGACTCTTGGCCACCTCCATCGCATCCCGTGACCGTGTCTGTGTTTTCAGACCTAAAGGTGAGCTGCAGACCAGGCCGTGGCGAGATGCCGTTCAGCCTTCGCCCAGGCCCGCACCTGCCGACGCTGCTGCCTGTCCATTGTAGGTGAGGAAACTCAGACGTTACTGTCCCCAACTCTGGGCCTGGCTCAGCCTCTCCATCTTCAGACGGTTCCGTTGGAGAGTAACGGTCCGCTGGAGCCCACGCAATTTGCTTAATTACCCCCCAAAGTATTACCACGACTAAAACAGAGTCTTAACAGACCGTGAACGTCCTTGGCCTTGCCTGGAAGCACCGCACCTCCTGGCGAGACGGCGTCTCCCAACGAAGCCGCTGACCCCAAGCCCGTGACCGAAGGGACCAAGGCTCCTTTGGCAAACGAAGAGCGGAGCAGTAGGTCCGAGCGCCTGAGAACGGGCAGGAGCGGAGCTTCCACAGGTCGGGCTGGGTTGGCTCCCCGCGCAGCAGGTGCCAGAAGGTCCCAGAAGGTCCCAGAAGGTCCGGGCCCGTGGCCCAGGGTGGGGCGAGCTCTCCGCAGCCAGGAGCCAGCTGCACCCGCAGCGCCCCTCGGGGTAGCCTCGGGCCCGTTCATTCCCGGGGTCACCCCCGGCACTCCCCCTATTCCCGGGGTCACCCCCCGGCGCTCCCCCTATTCCCGGGGTCACCCCTGGCGCTCCTCCTTAAAAGCGACTTGCTGCCGCCCAGGTCACAGCCCCCGGGGTCTGAGCTTTGCCCACAGCCACCGCCACCGGCCAGCTGGGGTCCACTGTGTGCGCGGCAGGTGCAGCGGCCGGACAAGCGCAGCTCGGCAGACCTGCTCCCCGCTCCCGCCCACCCCCCCACCGCCCCCGCCCCCGCTCCCGCTCCCGGGGTCGGCCGAGCTCTCCCGGGTACCTGGTTCGGGGCCTGTGCTCGGCCCCGGGATCAAAGAGATGAAGACAGTCCAGCCATCAAATCGAAAAGAGGACCTGATGGTGGACACGGCGCCGTCCCCTGTCCTCCTTCATCGTCATCTTTATCATGGGTCAGTGTTGCATCTGGCCCGCGCTCTTCCTCTCGCCCCATAATCAAGGTTTCCATATATATACTAAGTGCATGGACATTTAGGAGGGTCTGATTCTTTGACCCTTAGGAGATAAAATGTACCGCAGGTTTGTCTCCTTTTATCTCTTTTGTCTGTCCGTCCTGACTGTAGGGACCGTCGTACACACGTCAGGTCTCCAACACTTACTCTCGTTTAATCTTTTCGACTAAAACAACATACACCCCCCCCACCTCTCCTACCCCCTCACCTCTTGTAACCACCGTCTGTTCTCTCTTTCTATGACCTTGGGGTTTTTTTTTCTTTTTCTTTTTTATATTCCACATATAAGACAGGCGACCTGATACTTGTCTTTCTTTGCCGACTTACCTCCCTGAGCATAATGCCCTTGAGGTCCGTCCGGGTCGTGGCAAACGGCGACCTTTCGTTCCTCACGGCTGCGCGAGATCCCATGGCACACACGCACCGCGGTTTCCTTGTCCATTCACCCATCGACGGGCTCGGGTTGTCTCCCTGTCTTGGCTGTCGTCGGTCTGCTGCAGTGGCCGTGAGCGTGCACTTGCCTTCCGGCCCAGTGTTTCCGTCTCCTTCGGATGTACACCTGGAAGTGGGATTGCTGCATCACGTGGGAGCTTTTTTTTTTTTTTTGAGGAAGCTCCACACTTTCCCCGAGTGGCTGCACCAATTTACCTTCCCACCAACAGAGCACAGGGTTCCCTCCGCTCCACACCCACGCCCACGCCCACGCCCACGCTGGTGATGTCTTGTCTTTTCGATACCGTGGCCGTTCTGACAGGTGTGAGGTGCTATCTCCTTGCGGTTTCTTTTTTTTTAATTTTTTTATTTATGACAGTCACAGAGAGAGAGAGAGAGAGAGACCCAGGCAGAGGGAGAAGCAGGCTCCATGCACTGGGAGCCCGACGTGGGACTCGATCCAGGACCCCAGAACACGCCCCGGGCCGAAGGTGGTGCTAAACCGCTGGGCCACCGGGGCTGCCCTCATTTTTGTTCATGTGCAGGAACTTTTTAGTTTGTGTAGTTCTACGTATTTGTCTTTGCTTTTAATGTCAGATTCAAAAAATCCTCACCAACACCTTATTGCCAACATTTTTTTCTGGTTTTACAGTTTCGGGTCTTAGGCTCAAGTCCTTCATTCATTTTGAGTTAATCTGCGTGTACGGCGTAAGACAGTGGTCCCGTTTCGTTCTTTTTGCACGGGGCTGTCCAGTTTTGTCAGGGCCATTTACCGAAGAGACTGGCCTTTCCCCGTTGCACATCCTTGGCTCCTTTGTTGCCCGAGTTACTCGACCACCTACGCGTGAGTTTATTTCTGGACTTTCTATTTTGTTCCAGGGATCTGTGTGTCTGTTTTTAGGTAGACGCCATCCCGTCTCATCACTGCAGCTTCGTGATGTCGTTTGAAACCGAGAAGCATGGTGGCTCCGGCTTTGTTCTTCTTCCTCAAGATTGCTTTGGCTATGCAAGGTTTTTTGTGAGTCCATACAAATTTTAGGATTCTTTGTTCTGCGAAGAATACCACTGGAATTTCAATAGCAATTACGTTGAATCTGCACATTGCTTGGGTAGTATGGACATTTTAATAATATTAACGCTTCCAATCCATAAGCATGAAATACTTTTTCATTTATTTGTGTCTTCTTCAATTTCTTTTACTAACGCCTCATAGTTTTCAATACATAGGACTTTCACCTCCTTGGTCAAATTTATTCCTGGGTATTTTATTCTTTTTGATACAGTTGCTTCCTTAATTTCTCTGATAATCCATTATTACTGTACAGAAATGCAACAGATTTCTATGTATTGATTTCGCATCCTGCAGTTTTACTGAATTTATTTATGCATTTTAACAGCTTTTTTTAATGGAGTCCCCAGGGTTTTCTATATATAATGTGATGCCATCTGCGAATAGTGACTTTTATTTTTGTTTCCAATTTGGATGACTTTTATTTATTTTTCTTTCCTGTTTGCTATGCCTCGGACTTCCAACACTGTGTTACATAGAAGTGGCGGGAGGAGACATCCTTGTCCTGTTCCTGATCTTAGAGAAAAAGCTTTCAGCTTCTCACCATTGAGTGTGATGTCAGATGTGGACCTGCCATATATGGCCCTAATTGTGTAAAGGTCCTTTTCCTCCATATCCACTTTGTTGAGAGGTTTTAATCATAGATTGATGTTGAATTTTGTCAAATGCTTTCTCTGCATCTATTGAGATCATCATATGACTTTTTAAAAATATTTTTTAAAGTAATCTCTACATCCAGCATGGGCCTGGAACTCACGACCCCAAGATTAAGAGTTGCATGCTCTACGGACTGAGCCAGGCAGGTGCCCCATTGATCACAGGATTTTTATCCTTCATTTTGTTAATATGGTCTATCCCATTGCCTGATTAATGAATGTTGAACCGTCCTTGCATCCCTGGAATAAATCTCATTCAATCATGGTGTATCATTCTTTTAATATATCGTTGAATTCCATTTGCTGACATTTGGTCGAGAATGTTTGTATCTGTCTTCACCAGGGGTTTAGCCTGTAATTTTCTCTTCTTACGGAATCCTTGTCTAGTTTTGGTATCAAGATAACGCTGGCCTCATAATATGTGTTGAGAAGAGCACCCCAGCTCCCGCCCCTACTGTTTTGGTTTTTTTTTTTAAAGAACTTGAGAAGGGTTGGTATTAATTCTTCTTCGAAAGTTTGGCAAACTCACCCAGACTTTTGTTTGTTGGGAGGTTTGTGATTACTGATTCGACCTCCTTGCTAGTAATCGGGCTGAACAGATTTCCTGTTGCATCGGGATCCTGTCTTGGTAGACTGGATGTTTCTAGGAATGTGTCCATTTCTTCCAGGTTGGCTCATTTGTTGGCCTGTAATTGATCACAGTAGCCTCTTAGAATCTTTTGCATTTCTGTGCGGTCAGTGGTATAGATATCACACATTGTGGGATTCCCTCCCAAACATTTTCTGTATTATTTTTCAACATAGTTGAAATCGTGTTGTTCCCACCAGTTTATATCCTACTGACTTTCACTGTGACGTGTAACACATATACACGAGTGTGCATGTGTGCTTGTGTATGTATCTACACACAATTTAAAAAGGACACATAAAAAGCCCATGTCCGCACACGTCTCTTAAGAATATTACTAGTACCTTTGAGGTCACCTCTGCATCCCCCTTCTCTTTTCCAAAGGTATCTTCACTTTTGTATTAATCATCCTTTTGTTTTTCTTTATAGTTTTCTCATATATGTATGTTTTTTTAAAACAATATATTTCCTATTTTTGGTCACTAGGTGAAAGAAATCATATTGCATACGTTCTCTATGGCTTTTTTTTTTTGGCTTGGTGTTATGTTTTTGAGATTCATCCATATTGATACATACAGACATTCATACAGTCCATTCGTTTTTGAATGCATAACGACTGCATAAAATTCTGTTCAGATATGTGGAACATCACAACGTATCCGTTCTTCTACTGACAGGCAATTGGGGTGTTTCCAATTATTTTGCTACGACAAATGATGCTGCAGTGAAGAATTTGAAGTGTGCGTCCTAATGCACATTCAGAAGTTTCTCTAAACTGTACACCAGCAGTGGAACTGCACGCACATCTGCAAAATACCGTTTGTCTTCACTGAATCTTGATTCTGTTTTTAGTCATTCTTCCTAATTCTTTTTAATGATCATATTTTATCTCGACAAGGGCACGCACCTAGCCACATCTCTATTGTTGACCATCTAGAGTTTGTCCCCATTTTTTAAATTTTATACACATTCTGGGGAAACATTTTTTTTTTTTTTGCCCAGAATTCTCTGCTTTCTAGGTCATTTCCTTATGAGGAATTCCCAGAAGTGAATTTCTTAAATCAAAGTTGTACCGATTACCATTCGGTGGGAGGGTTTTTACTAGTGAAGTGCACACAGTAATCACCACGCAACCAGCTGTTAATCCTTTGGGATCACAGATCCTTTAGAGACTATGACTTAGGGTATGGACCTTTCCTCCAGAACACACGCGCCCGCCCGCACACACGCACACTATTTGCACTCACAAAGCAGAATGCCGGTTCAGGAGCCTCTCAGACCCTCCGAAGCGATTTGCTGACGTCTCTAGTAAGCGAGACACCCTCTCCCACCGGCTGAATGTTTCTTAAATTTCACCAATTACGTTCACGCGCCAAATCCTAGATCTGTCAAATAACTTTTGTTTTAAACCACGGTTTTTGAGCATCCACGATGTGCCGGCACTTTGCCACATACTAGAGATAAAAGAATAAAGGGTCCCGGCTTCAAGGAATGGAGAGTCCACTGGGGAAGACGTACGATAACAAGTGTTTCCAATAAAATATGTGCAATAAGAGGGGTTCGTTAGGCAAAACAGAGATACAGATTCAGGACTGCTCGGCTCCCCTTCGCCAAGGGGTCGCAAAGGCTGAATACACGTTCCCAGGGACGTTATAGGGCAGGGGAGAGAGTACCAGCAAAGGGAGGGAGGCGCCGTGTGACCTGCACCTGTACGAAGTCCTACGTGGGTCAAGCATCGTTGGGGTAGACTGGGAACGAACTGCGGGAGGCTCGAGACTCTTCTTACCTGAGACCGAGATTAGGAAAACAGAACGGACAGAGCAGACCCTAGCGGCTGGTCCGACAACGCAAAGGAAACCGCAAAAAGGATCCCCTCCCAAGCACTTCCTCTATTGCCCCGAAGCCACTCTTGTTAGACACAAAGGAAAACTTTTTGCCTGTTTTTTGTGCAACTGTCAGAAAGTTGAGGCTCAACATCCAAGGCTTAAACCTACTCGTTAATACACATAAAGAACACATTAAACACGTGTGATGCGTTCCTCTTGTACGTGGAAACACTAGAAAGCCAGCACCTCAAGCACTATGATGATTTCTTCATAGAATTGCCTTGAAAAGGGCGGCCCGGGAGGCTCAGCGGTTAGCGCCGCCTTCAGCCCAGGGCGTGATCCGTCGGGCTCCCGGGATCGAGTCCCCCGTCGGGCTCCCTGCGTGGAACCTGCTTCTCCCTCTGCCTGTGTCTCGGCCTCTGTCTCTGTGTGTGTCATGAATAAATAAAATCTTTAAAAAAATTGCCTTGAAAAGCTGACTTACATGGAAAACCTGTCTTTTTAACATTCACTGAAAATCTCTTTTCAGCCTAATACTATCTCATCTATCACTGTTTTGAATTCAAGCCTAACTTTTAAAACGTAACTAAACATAATTGCTATTTTGAAGTCACTGGTTTAATTAAAATGCAGCATGTGGATTTTTTGTAAAACATAATGCATCTGCTACTCCGATGGAAAATGAATACGCCTGGTTTTGATAATCTAATAAATATCTTCGATAAACTTTCATCCAACATACGAATATGATACTATCAAAGTAATATTTGGGGCAATATTCCTTCTCGATGTGCTAAGATTATACTCACATTTCCTTTCTTTTGAAATTTTAGTTAGATTTCTGTCACGCATGACACCCAATCACATACATTACGGACCCACATGTAAGAAAGTATAAGGTGGGATCATACAGCAATACAACGTGCTTTCTTGTGTGTCAAGAAGGAAAAAAAAAGGGTTTTGAAGTCTAAATATCAATTGACTGAAGTTGACTGAATAAAGCCACTGAAGTTTATAAAGCTCTCAGCACCAGGAAAGGTCTTTTTTTTTTTTTTTCAAAGTACCCGTTGGATCTCTAGATGGCATCCCATTAAACACCACTGAGCTTTGTCAAAATACAGAATCTTCAAGGGTACTTCAAAATAATAAAAAGATGTACTCTCGCTGCAGGTTGTCTAATAAACAAAGAACAGAATCCTTCAGATTCATACTGAGGAAAGAATTTTTTATATGTACGAAAAAGAAATTCAAAAGGAGCAAATTTTTTCCTTAGAATTTTCATGGAAATCCCAATGACTCTCATGGCGGGCAGGCAAAAGCACAAACAAGGATATATGGTAATATGTGCTTTTTACCGCCCTCTACCCCGGAGCATTTGTTTTGTCCTAAGAAGGGGAATCTTATGGCTTTTTTTTTTTTCGTAAATGGTTTAAGACATTATTTAAAGGCAGTTAAAACAAAAAGCACGGCCAATAAATGGAGGATTCAAAGATTTTCATGAAGTGGTTTGAAAATAAATGCTTTGTGACATATATTAAAACCCTGACCACGTAATAAAAAGTATAACAAATCTACAATAGGTACAAATTATATACATTTATTTTTTAATAATTTTAAATAACACTCTTGTATAAATTCTTTTCATATATTCAAATCATACACAAATTTAGAAATGCATCATGAAGCCTAGTACAGCATTTGCAGGAGACACGTTTTTAAAATTTGTGTTAGAATTTTAGTGGCCTACAGACGAGCGTAGTTTCGGAAACTCCCCCGACGGCTGGGGCCGACGTGTAACCACGGGCGCTTGTGCCCACGTGGCTTCTGCCCTGTTGAGGACCCACGACCCCGGTGCACCCGCCGTCACCGATGGGCCGCGTGTCCCTCCTGCCTCCCCTTGGCGCCGACCTCGGCCACCCCCAGCACGGGGCTCCCGTCCGTGCCCACCGCAGGCCGCCCGAGGCCAGAGCGGCCCGTGAGGAGTCCCCCGTGGACGCGGCCAGAAGTGCTTCCCGTGTCCTAAGGGGTTACGCGGGCCGCTTCTTACTCCTCTGAACGTTTTGTCGCAGAGCTTTCCTGGAGGCGTGGGCTCAACCCCCACCCGCGTGCGTCGGGGGTGAGAAGCAGGGGGTGTGCGTGCAAGCGGCCTGGCATCCCAGAGGGCAGGGCCTCGCGAAAGCCCTAGGAGCCCGCCCCTCCTGGGCTCGCGGCCACCAGGACGGCGCGGCGAGGGCTCAGCGTCCGGAGGGCACTCGCGGGCCACGACGAACGCGGGGACAAGGCTCTAACGACCAGCTCTCGGGGCCAGGTGGGCTAAAGAGCAGCCATATGATGTGACCCCTGTACAAACCCTCTCCTCCATCACACCTGCTCTGCCCGCTCCTAAGATGCAGGTGCCCCGAGAGGGGACGCAGCAAACCCGCGGGCCCTCGGGGTAAGTGAGCTTAGTCCATCACCATCTCTGTAACCCGAGAGCCCATTAAGAGACATCTGGGAGCTGATGGTGCGGGGGCAGGGGAATGGGGGAGCACAGAGCTAACACCACCTGGGGCATCCGCCGAAATGCATCGGGGCTTACGCGAAGGGCGGACGGCACAGTTATCACTTAGTAGCGGCATCCGTCACTGATCAGCAGGATTCACGCTCGCCTTGCCTGAAAACAAACACATTTCTAATCCTTATTCAAAAATTCTTCCAATAGGATCTACCTAAGGGACTGACGGGTCCTACCTTTACAGGAATCAGTATCGGGTAATGCATTCCCTGCTAGTTTCCTACTCCGATTTTGCTGGCAGATCACTTCGTGATTGAGTTAAATTTTAGAACAAAATTATTTCCACCAGCAAAAAGCAAGGGACACTAAAGAATATGGTTTAAAACACATTTTAAGACATTATTTTTTTTTTCCACTGGGAAGAATCAATGCTCCTTGTGATTCAGCGTCTGCAATACCACGTGAGGCCTGTTTGAAGAAATGTCCATATGGCCGGAGTCTGGACTATTTGGCTTCGGCTCCTAGACCCCAGCAAACCCTCCTGCTGTCTCTACTGGGTCAACCTGTACGTCTCCCCGCGTCCACCCCCCAGGCTGAGGGGGGGCAGTCTAGGAGAGAGGCAGGCGTTCCGTTCGCACACCTCCTTGGGGTTGTGCAGTGCTCGGGCTGAGCGTGCGTAGGGGGCAGCTGCTGGGGACGCAGACTTTCCCTCCCTGCTCGGGAGGAGTAGTTCACTTTAACGAAGCACAAACTGGTAGTTTCCTACATCCTCGATAGCAGCTTCAGATAGTCCTCCGCGTCCTTCCCGCAGGGTCCCCTGCGGCCGTGGGGCCCTGGACCTGCCTCGTACTTCCAGAAGGGAGAAGCGTTCCCCGCAGGACTCTCCTCCCACGGTCTTGGCGTGCGGCTCTAGGCAGCTTCTGACCAGCACACGGTTGGAAGAGCGCGTGCTTCAGAGTGAGGAGGCCCATTCCAAGCCCCCCGAGGACGTGCTGGAGAGCCTCGAACAACACATTTAGCCTCATCTGTAAAACGGTGACAATGGCTGCCTCCTCAGGGGACTACCGGGAGGGAAAGGTGCTTGCCAACTGCAAAGGGCCACGGAGGTACTCACTGATTTTATTATGATGTAACGTACCGTGACCTGTCCTCTCGTGAGCAATGGCCAGACATCGGGGCACCTCAGGTGCTGGAAGCAGAGGATCCATCTGTCCATCCCCCAGAACATCATCCCTAAAACCTCAGAAAACTTAGGGCTCTCCTGCAGAGGGACGACCCAATTCCAGGTTTTTCTCTGGGGAAGGCGGTCAACTTGGATTTCTTAGGGCTAATCTAATAACCCCCCCCCCTTTTTTCCTAGCCACTTGACAGTGTGCCGTTCCTCCTATAAATATCTATATTTGACTTCTGGCTGCTTTTCCCGGCTTGCTGAACCCACCATCCGTCAGTATCAAAACAGATGAGAGCAAGAGTAGGTGGCCTCTAGGGGAGACCCGTGTCTGAAAGCAAGGACTGACCGAACCCCCCCAAGTCCAGAGCTACTCCCCAAGCAGGAGAGAGCGGAACCGCAGCTCCGCAGGAAGATGGGACACACGCCTGGAGGATGGGTGAGAAGCCGTGCTCAAATGCAGAAGGTATTTTTTCGAGGTGGGTGGAGGAGGAATAGAAATATTTCCCAGGCATGAAAACGGGATCCCAAGTCACATGATGGCTTTTCTTTTGCAACTAAAATATTTCTGATTCCTTTGGAAGACTATCTTTTGTATTTAAAGACGTGTGGTGTGGTGGGGGGGGGAACATGACCTGCAGTGATCTATGTAAAATATGTAGAGCGGCTAATGTCTCATCGGGGGAGTATTTTGGAGAGTGTGGCCCGTGTCCCAGCTGAACCATCAATGACTTAAAAATCTATTGCTTGAATCTGTAGTCAGACCAAGAACACACAGCTCTACCTTGAGACTGAGAAAGGGAGAGAAAGGTTAGAAACATTCGACCTCTTAGAAATTTCAACAGTGTCCAAAGAGGGACTAAAAATGATTGATGGTCACCAGAGTCCCAGCTCTAGCAATATTGCCATCTATGTTATTTTAACCAATCCCCATATTTTCTTTTTACAACACCATTAACTGCTGTACAAATAAATTCTAGATGATAAAATATGACATGATTTTTTTTTTACAAATAGATACAAATACAATGTCGACCAGATATGCTACATTAACTATATACACCGTATTTTTCTAGAGGCAGGAAGAGTCCTTATTTTTAGGCAATTTACCATTTACACTGAGACCCTAAGGAGGACCGTCAGCTTCCCGCTCCCCGATGTTGCCTTCTTCTTTCCACCATTAGCTTATCCTGTGCTTGAGCCTATCATTGAGCGAGACTTAGGAAGGAAAAAAATCACACCTTTCTAAAGACCCTCTTGAGACTTTCCTGCCCCTATTTTAGAAACAATCGAGATTGTTTATTGTGATACAGCCCCGACATTAAGCTTTCTTCGGCGATGTCTTTTAGCGCAGTAGAAGGAACATCATCCCTGACTCTCCTTTTAAAAGAGGTGTTTCAGGAATGGAGATGAAGTCTCCCAGCAGTCCTCCTCCCTCCGCTTCCACCAAGCCTCCGCTGGTCTGGTGAACACTTCCCCAGGAGTCTGTTAGGAGGTCAAAGGAGGTGTGGGCTGCACTGTGGGATTCAGCCTTCCTATACTCCCCTGTAGTCTGGTACAAAAATATACTTTACTACAAGTCCTTATTGACAGTGACCGCTTCAGATCTTCACGGGGAAACTAAGAGCAATAGGGCTAAGTGCATTACAGCTTTGTACCCGAACATCTCAGGTGCGCTCCACGCCCTGGCGTTCTCAGCAAGCGCTACCCAGGCCTTGTCCGGCCCAGGAGCCGATGCAGTCTTACTGAGCACCGTGGTCTAACGACCCAGGACGACGGTTCTCGCTCCTCAGGCCTTGTAGTTGTGAATGGGTGTCGTCAGGGTCAGCTGCCCATTGGGAGCCACTTCATTACCGTCATCTTCCAAGAGTCCTGACACATCTGCATTGGGAATGCTGTCATGGTAGCTGCTGAAACTGATATTGTCTTCTTTCAGCTCGATGGTCCAAAAGGGGGCATTGAGCTTCCGGTTCTGGTACTCCCGGTACATATAGACAGCCCCCACAAAACCCATCAGCAGCACCACCACAATGATGATGACTGTCAAAATGATGATGTTAAACTGGGTCCATGAAACATCAGCTAAAGCTGACGTGCTGTTTTCAGCAGAGCTTACTGAAAAGATAGTCTGCAGGGTTGTGGGGGTAAATGTGCTATTTATAACAGGGGTGGGCACTGATGTGGTCAAAGAGGCATTGGAAACCAAAATGGTAGAACCTTCAGGTGTTGGAACAATAACTTCTGAAAATAAAAACAGAGAATGAAATGTAAAAGACAAAATTATCTAGTTTTAAGAAACAATAAAAGAAATACACGTGGGAGTGGAAGTTGATATGGGATGTTGACGTGATACTCTGCTCTAAGGTAACGCAAGCTAAGAATAATTTTTAAAGAAACACAGTGAAGGGAGTCAAGGCCTAGAAGCTAGATTATTACATCCATGGCTGTTCTCCAAAATGTAGGATATTAAAATCTTCGGGAAAATTCCAAAGTTGGGGTTTCCTATCCTTCTTGGCTCTCGGATAGATTCACACAGATTCCTGCAAAGGCAGTAAATACGTCACCACGGCATATAACGAGTGACTCCCGAATCACTCGGTTAAAAGTGACAGGGATAAAAATGCCATCATTTGAACTAAAGTAAGTTCAACATGTCGATGGCATCTCATGGAGGTGAAATTCTCTTCAAAGGTGGCAAAAACAGGATAAGAAAAATCGTATTTCTAGTTACTTTTGAAAAACACAATTTAAACGTCCAATATTGGTGGCGGCCAGGAGAAAACACGGCCCTCCTTTAGTCCTACGGGATCTATCCTCCTTTACACAGATCACAGCTGGTTTCATAATTAAAGTGCTAAGACCACACAGCTCAGGGGAGGTACCGAAGCCTTTGGCATCCAGGAGACCTGTGCGGCTACAGGCAAGTGAGTGACCCTTGTTAACACTGAGGCTCCTCATCTGTAAAACGGGAGGGATAACGCCTACTCTGCGGAGTTCCCGGGAGCCTCGTGTGAGACGGTGCGCCACGGCGCGTTACCACACGTAGTGCCCCCAGGGCTTGGCGCGTCAGAGGCACTCGATACAGTGGCTGCTGTTGTCACTGTAAGTCGTCACCACAGTCAGACACATTAATCTATCCCCCAAAGAGGCATGTTCTATGTTATCTAGTAACTGATAAGAAAAATCGTCACAGTCCTGTCAGCCAAGTAGGGGTGAAGCTTGCCTCCAGATAGGAAAGGGAACCGAGTGAAAGGATCCCCAGCCTAGGGACAGGGTCAGTCTGTTTAGCCTTGATCACAACAGAATAAGGATATCAAGAAAATGGCAGAGGAACGACACTTGCCACAGACCAATGGTCCATCGGCCCAGGATTCAGCATCGGTCAGAACGTCAAAGAGTGGTTTCTAGAAGAGCATGGTCTCATCACTTTGCGACCCGATAAAGCCTGAATATCCCCCTAACTCATGCTAAATTTCTAATCATTAATTTTTATCTAAACCTTTACTGACCTTTCCGGCAAGAAACATTTTTGCTACATTAATAACCTTTTCTTTTAAAAATCAAAAGGACTATTATCACTCTTTCCTCCACTGCACATGGAGGGAACTCGGCCCCAAAGTTAGGTAGGACAGATGCTACAGTGCAGTCTCGTTTCTCGGCTGGAACTTCTAACCAGATTACACGTCCCTACTTCCAAAGACCTTTGGTGGTCACTGGAAGTGATGAGAATATAGGAACCAAAGGATAAAAGAAATGATAGGACTTTTGAATTATTAACATAAAAGTGAAAATAGATGAAGAGAAAATGTGGGAACCCTGCAATGACTTTGTCGTGGGCCTCAGATTTCTGGAGTTGACTTTGGAGCAGCAGGAGAGCAGCAGGAATAGAAGGAGATCCCTTTAGGCAAATAGCTATCAAAATCTATTTCCAGAAAACTCCTCTGGTGGGATCGGAAGGTTTTATGAAGCTAATGGTAGCTGTTCTGAAATTTTCACTGCTAGGCTTAGATATTAAATGTACCACCTTAGGTGAAGCTTTACCTTTCTTGATGCAATTTCCCTCGAGGTCTCCCACATAGCCTTCTAGGCAGTTCTCACACCAAAACCCAGTGGTGTTATGGAGGCAGTTGATGCATTCACCACTCTCAGGCTTGCAGATCTTTGGAGTTGTAATTGGGTCCACGTGGCCATGACATTGGCACTTGGTACAGATGCTGTCAGAATTGTAATAGCCGTTTTCACACTTGTTGCAGTTCTGGCCTGTGTAGCCTTCTTTACACTGGACACATCTAGGTTCCAATTCATCTGATTCTGAAAGGGAGAGAATACCAAAGGAATTCAGTACAGTCTCAAGCTACAGTTAAAGATGCAAAACAGGGCAGCCCCGGTGGCCCAGCGGTTTAGCGTGATCCTGGAGTCCTGGGATCGAGTTCCACATCGGGCTCCCTGCGTGGAGCCTGCTGCTCCCTCTGCCTGGGTCTCTGCCGCTCCTCGCTCTCTCTCTCTCTCTCTATCTCTCTCTCTCTGTGTGTGTGTGTGTGTCTCTCATGAATAAATAAATAAAATCTTTAAAAAAAAAAAAAGATCCAAAACAAAACAACTACTGGTCCTCAAAATGGTTTTTAAACCCTCCCTACTATCTCCTCTCAAAGCAATTAATGATCTACACCTTATTTCTTAATTCATAATTGTCCAGTTCATTGTAACAATGATGGGGCCCTCCAGAGAATCTCTGTAGGTAGAGAACAAAAGAAATAGGCTTACATGAGGAATACGAATGATTGTAATGATGAGACACTCTTACATCATTTTTATTCCTTCTTTAGTCCTGAAAGATGGAATAAAATATGATTTTAACAAAAACTTCTTCATCTCTCCCTCCAGTCACTTCATATACATGTATTTGGATGTGGTTGCAAATCCCTAGAAAGAAAAACCTTTGCTGTTTTTCTAACTCCCTTTCACCTGCTCTCACCGTACTCTCACTCCTCTTTGCCCAGAACTTCATTCATCAACACACTTGATACCAATGATAACTGATGCCCTGGTTCCCCCCTCCGATGGAAGATTTAGAGAAAGGCCTCACCTATGACACAGCTGCCTGTAGACGTCACTGCTGAACAAGGACAGCGAAGGCATTCTTTCGTGGCGTCAGGACTCTGATAAAATCCCTCTTTGCAGTCTTCACAGTGATCCCCTTTGCTATTCTCCTGGCAGTTTAAACAAGCACCTAAAAGAAGCAAATTATTTTAAGGAGTTAAAGATGCGCTCTAAAAGCACAATAACTTCAAGTGAATCATACCATATTAACCAAAAGACCTTACGAGTTCACCAGGAGAAGTGAGCTGGCAGGAGTTCACTTTCCAGCCCATCTTATGTCTACGTTGGCCACGTCTGTGAGTTCTGTGTCCCCTGCTAGATTGTAAACTCTAGGGAAAGGCTGGGTACGTGAATAAAGTAGCAATAAGCCTGGGTTGATGGTTGACTACATACGGAAAGCGGGGCGACTATTTTCAAATTAAAAATAAAAACAATCTAAAGACCTATTTGAAAAAGTATGAATTATATACTACCTTCACAGTTGGGATACTACAGGTAAAGAAGTGAACTACACCTACATATATGAATATCCATAAATCTTGACAACATTGGGTGAAAAAAGCAAACTGCAGAATGATACAAAACAGATGGAGGAAACTTAATTATCTTGTAAAATTTAAAAGCCATACTAAACAATACTAAGCAAATGGATACATACATAGGATATATATACAGTAAAAATCAATGTGGACTGAGGGGGCATCAGCGAATTTTATGCTCTGCTTATCTCTGTGGAGGGAAGGAGAAGAAACAAGACTACGGAAAAAAAGAGAGGATTCCAACTGTATTTGAAATTTTCTATTTCAAATATTTAACTATATGTAATATGTTTAAGTATTAAGCAAAATACCAAAATGTTAGTATTTATTAATTCTAGGTGTAGCTACATTAGTATGTGTTATCTTATTCTCTGTACATTTTCATATTTAAAAAACCCAAGATAGGGCAGCCCGGGTGGCTCAGCGGTTTAGCACCTGCCTTTGGCCCAGGGCGTGATCCTGGGGCCCCAGGATCGAGTCCAGCATCGGGCTCCCTGCATGGAGCCTGCTTCTCCCTCTGCCTGTGTCTCTGCCTCTCTCTCTCTCTCTCTCTCTCTCTCTCTCTCTCTGCATATTCTCATGAATAAATAAAATCTTTTTTAAAAATTAAAAATTAAAGATTAAAAAACCCAAGATCAAGGTAAAAACAATCAATTAGTAGGGGCCCCTGGCTGACTCAGTTGGTGGAGTGTGCAACTCTATCTTGGAGTTGTGAGTTCAAGCCCCATGTTGGGTATAGAAGTTACTAATAAAAAATAAGTAAAACTAAAAAGAAAAAAAAAAACAAACAATTGGTAGAGGGGCACCTGGATGGCTCAGCGGTTTACGCTGCCTTCAGCCCAGGGTGTGACCCCGGGATCCTGGGATCGAGTCCTGCATCAGTCTCTCCTGCAGGGAGCCTGCTTCTCCCTCTGCCTGGGTCTCTGCCTCTGTGTGTCTCTCATGAATAAATAAATAACATCTTTTAAAAAGAAAAAAAAAAGGGTGAGGGAGAGACTGAGACTGTAAAATTAATTGGTCTGACAACTGGGGCATGATTTGAAAAACCAAAATAATGACAATGTTATTAACACACACAGCATATCTCAATTTTTAAGTCATTATAGCAGAATTCTCCCAAGCTTCATGAACTGATGGGGAAAGACAGGTTCACAGTGTATCACCTGAACACTTAACTTCGAACTAAATCACAATCTCATGCAAGCGTCGCTTTCCATCAATAATCAATAATTTTTTTAAAGATTTTAAGTAATCTCTAGGCCCAACATGGGGCTTGAACTCATGACCCCCCAAATCAAGAGTCGAATGCTCTTCTGAGCCAGCCAGGCGCCCCTAATCATAATTTTTTAAGGTCTGTTAGTGTCAGTGATACTTTTCACACACGTAACAAAGTAGCAGTGCATCCTCATACAGTGACACACACATTAGGTACTGATTTCTTTCCAGATCTTCTTATATCCTGATTGCTCTTTAGCTATGGAGCTTTGCGACAATAAAAATCGCTGAAAAATACATACCAAGAAACTGCAAACTGCAGACTTTGGCTCTACAAATAAGATAATCTTTTGTTAGTTTAGAGAGGGAGAGGGATGGGCAGAGGAAGAGAGAGACTCTCAAGCAGGCTCCACGTCCAGCAGGGAGCCACAGCCCTGAGATCGTGACTGAGCCTAAATCAAGAGTCTCAGACGCTTAACTGACTGAGCCACCCCGGCACCCCCAAAATAAGATGATCTTAACTGATAAAGTGTTCTCCAGTTTGGAAAATTCAAGACCTGCATTATGCGTAAAATCTGGCCACCTGGGCTCCCTCTATTAAAAATGTGCAGTGGAAATAATTTTTAAGAAAACAAGTTCTGATAAAGTCCTGAACTTTAAAAATACCTCAAAGAAGTCAATGGTCCTATAACAGAATATGGATGTTCGGGGAAAGATGCGTTCCAATAACATGCCATTTGCTTGTAATGTGGGAATAACAGGTCATATTGCTATTCTTATTTCAAAATGATAAATATACACATTGTTAATACTTTGCTTCTACAATGCTATTGGGCCTACATGCTTATTGTCTGCGGTTTTTAAGGTTTTATTTATTTATTCATAAGAGACACACAGAGAGGGGCAGAGACACAGGCAGAGGGAGAAGCAGGCTCCACGCAGGGAGCCCGACGTGGGACTCGATCCCGGGACCCCGGGGTCATGATTTGAGTTGAAGGCAGATGCTCAACTGCTGAACCACCCAGGTGCCCCATGTTTGGGGGCTTTTCACTATTTTAGATAAGATCTCAAGCCTTGGTGCTTATCACGCTATAATTCCATTCTCTTAAACTGTTTATATTAAAATGTGAATTTTTAAGAGAAATTATAAAATTCTTAATAAACATTCTTTCCAGAGTAATTTATTTCTATTCATTTTATGCCATACCTACAATGAGAAGTCAATGAGAAAAAAATGTAACCCTCTGTGGTAAACATGTTATCTCAAAAGGAAAGATGAAAACAAGTTTAATAATAAGACTCATTACACTGCTTCAAAAATAGCATGCATCTGGAAAACAGCCACAGAGGAAGAAAATTAATAAATTACAGACAGACATAAATACAGCAGAGTGATAACAATAGATGTGAGGGCAACAGACCTTTTGCTGTTTCTCCCCTCGCATTTTCACGTGTCCCCAGTACATATGTATCCTTTTTATTTTTATTGTCTTGATTTTTTTTTCCTGATTGTAAAACTAATACATCATAAACTCTATCACATGTGTATTATAAAAATATTTCCTGAACTCAAGCAAGTTTAAAACATTTCATGAGGGGGGATCCCTGGGTGGCTCAGCGGTTTCGCGCCTGCCTTTGGCCCGGGCGCGATCCTGGAGTCCTGGGATCGAGTCCCGCGTCGGGCTCCCGGCATGGAGCCTGCTTCTCCCTCTCCTCTGCCTGTGTCTCTGCCTCTCTCCCTCTCCCTCTATGTCTATCATAAATAAATAAAAATAAATTTAAAAAAAACATTTCATGAGAAACTCGGTGAAAATATTTTGATAACAACAGTAACGATCATAACCTTGCAGACGCACACGCAGGAGGAAGCGACGGCGTGAACCTGCCGTCCTACCGGCCGATAGCTCCTCTCCGCGAGGCAAGAGGGCGTAAGCAAACTGGCGCAGTATTAATGTCGGAGCGGAGCTCCACTCCCAGCTGAACCTCTTACCAGTGTGTGACCTTTGGGAAATAGCCTGAGTCTCACTTCTCTGATCTGTAAAGTTGGATCATTCTTGGCCTAATGATTTAATGTGAGCATTTCAAAGGGTGAAAAAGTATTCCGTAAGACAAATGTTTTCTCTTTATGTCCCAATTTCCTCATCTGTAAATTAAGAAGGCTGCATTAGATGAAATCTAAGTTCCCTTGAAATCTAAAAGTTGAGGGGCAGCCCTGGTGTGCAGCGGTTTAGCGCCGCCTTCAGCCCAGGACGTGATCCTGGAGACCCTGGATCGAGTCCCACGTCGGGCTTCCTGCACGGGGCCTGCTTCTCCCTCTGCCTGTGTCTCTGCCCCCCCCCCCGACCCCCCGTGTCTCTATGAATAAATAAAATCTACAGAAAAAATCTAAAAGTTGAGGGTCTTTCTTTTATGATAAATATATGTAAAAATTAGCTGAAGTTTAAGTTTATATATTGTGTCTGGAACCGCCCAAAATACAACAATTCCGCCTTAAAATTTACGTTCTCTTTGCTGAAAGATGACCAAAGGAGTGGATTATCTTAAAAAAAAAAAAAGAAGAAGAAGAAAGAAAAGAAAAAGGGGGACACCTGGGAGGCTCAGCAGTTGAGTGTGTGGTTTTGGCTCAGGTCATGACCCTGGGGTCCTGGGATCGAGTCCTGCCTTGGGCTCCCTGCATGGAGCCTGCTTCTCCCTCTGCCTGTGTCTCTGCCTCTCTCTCTGTGTGTCTCTCATGAGTAAATAAATAAAATCTTTAAAAAAAGAAAAAGGAATGAGTGTTTCCTGAAGATGATGTCATGCTCGCTGGCGAGGCAGCAGACCGATGTGGAAGGGTAACCAAGAACGCAACCAGGCAAAGAAAGGACCGTGGGGCTCTTTCCAACCAAATTCACTGACGCTTTGAAAACATAAATCGCCACCTGTAAAAGGCCTTGTCCTTATTTATGTTTCCATTTCATGGCTTACATATAGACCTTTCAGAAATAGAGCCACGTGCTCTGTTGTGGGAAGAAACGCCTGATCCTCTCTGCGGAGCGAACTTGAACCTGCCAAAAGGTGACAAGGGAGAGTAAGGGCGGAGGGAGGGCGGAGGGAGGGAGGGCGGAGGGAGGGCGGAGGGAGGGCGGAGGGAGGGAGGGCGGAGGGAGGGCGGAGGGAGGGCGGAGGGAGCGGGAGGGAGGGAGGGCGGAGGGAGGGGAGAGAGGGCGGAGAGAGGGCGGAGGGAGGGCGGGGAGAGAGGGAAGGAGGGAGGGCGGAGGGAGGGAGGGCGGAGGGAGGGCGGAGGGCGGGAGGGCGGAGGGCGGGAGGGCGGAGGGAGGGCGGAGGGAGGGCGGAGGGAGCGGGAGGGAGGGAGGGCGGAGGGAGGGGAGAGAGGGCGGAGGGAGGGGCGGAGGGAGGGCGGGGAGGGGAGAGGGAGGAGGGGAGGGGAGGGCGGAGGGAGGGGCGGAGGGAGGGCGGGAGGGAGGGGGGGAGCGGGAGGGAGGGGGGGGAGGGGGAGGGAGGGCGGAGGGAGGGAGCAGTGTGGGAGCCCTCCCAAGGGGGGCGCGCGAGCCGGTCCGGGGTGTCAGGACAAGAAGCAGGCGACCTGGTCTCACATTTGGAGAAGGTCAGTCTGGCCCGTGGCCCCTGGCCGTGGGGCGGCCGCGGGGTGAGAGGCGCGGAGGAGCCCGCGAGGGCGGCGGCCCCGGGTCGACAGGGCGCGTGCTGGGTGCTGGGCCCGGGGAGCCGGCGGCGGGCGGCGGGCGGCGGGCGGGCGGCCTCAGGCTCCAGGGGCCACAGGTGTCCCGGGGCCAGCCCGGGGCCTGCAGGCGAAGGCGTCCCACGCACGCGCCGCCGGACCTTTGGACGTGGGGATCAAGGGAGCAGAGGCGACCTGGTAGCACAGACAGAGCTGGCACTTCGAATCAAGTCCAGGGGACTGAATGCCATCGCTTCGGGACAGCACGAATGGAGAAGACAAACGTGAGATTTATTTATTCGTTTGGGAGCGAGCAAGCGCACACAGGCACGGGGCGGGGAGGGGGGGGGAGGGGGGGGCAAGAATCCTCAAGGTTCCCTGCTGAGCGTGGGGAACTGCCCGGGAGCCCATCCCAGGATCCTAAGATCATGACCTGAGCAAAAACCCAGAGTGGGACACTTAACTAACTGAGCCACCCAGGCGCCCAAGAGGAGCAAAAATAGATAGATCTCCTCAAAAAAAAAAAAAAAAAAGTGCACCTTGTGAATATAAAGCTCCAGTTCAAAAAATCAACGGTCCCCCACCTCCACTTTAAGATAAACACATACTCAATAAAGAAAATCTAAATAAGGAGAGTAGAAAGGAGAAAAAAGTCACAAGAAATAGGTCATTATGATTTTGAATGTATTTTTCCTTGAAATCTTTCCACATATATATATTTAAGTCTCGGTTTTCAAATGGTCTAAATATACAGCCAAGTCATTTCACGCCCTGCTTGTTTCACTCTCTCGTTGTTACATCCCGCTTTTTAAAACATTTTAATGACAACTTCAGCTGTAGTTGCCGTTTATGGATTATTTGTAATGAGCCAGGCACTGTAATTAAGGTTTTATACATATATTGCGCTGAATCACCACAACAACCCATTAGACAGTTACTGGCATTATCTGCATTTCTAGATGAAGAAATAGGCTACGTAATTCGGCCAAGGTAAAGTCAAGATTGCACTTGCCATGCTCTTAATCATGTGCTGCCCAGGTAACGTGATTTGCTTCATTCTCTGTTGACAGAAATAGGGTTGTCTGATTTTTAGAATTATAACTGCCACTTTAATAAGCCTCTTGGAGCGCAAAGCTTTTCGTGAATTTAGAATTATTTCCCCAGAATAGATTTCTGGAAACAGAATTGCTGGATCCAGGAGGTATTTTTAAGACTCTGATGCACACTGTGAAACTGTTTTCCAAAAATTTTCCCCCAATATATTCTATCACAAAAAGATCACTTTAAAATCTGCTCCCCCTAAAACACAAGGTACGGAAAAAGACCAGAAAAGGGAAACACAGGAACTGTGAAAATACAGTGAGTGGCCACCAGAGGGCAGCCGTATCACAGCGCTGTAGGCAAAATCTCCTCGGAGACAAAAGGAGAGGCTGAGTAGACGTTAAGCTTCCAGTTTAAATTAAGCATTTGCATCCCTTCGCGTTGAATTCCACTTTTCTTACATTTCCAGAGAAACCATTTATTTATCTTATTACTAGATGCTTTAGAAATTTTAACCACGGAAAGGTCTTTTGCCTTAAACTATCTCAAGCAAGGACAGGTTGGGATTTACTTGACATTAAAGACAAACCACCTCACTGCTACAAGGAAAACTAGCAGTGAGAGCCAGCAGTGCAGACCGCTTTCTCACTGTACAAGATCTGGGGAGAAAAAAAAATAAAAGATAAAAAATAAAAGATTTGGGGAGAAATGAAACTCAACTCAGTATGATGAAGCCTTCCCGTCCTTCACCAGGATTGAAATTTCCCTCTCCTTCGTGTGTTTTTCCATTCATTGTTCATTTACCTAACAAACATTTCGTGAGTACTGACTGGGTGCCAAGCTCCAAGCTAGGGGCTGTGTACGATGATGAACAATGATATTGCCCCTACCCTCATGAGCAAGCCACACATGACTCATAATCACAAATAAATATATAAACGATGCTACGTGCTGTGACACAAATACAACTGCATATGACAGTGTATAATTGGGGACCGTCATTCAGTTTGGAGGATCAGGAACTGCTTTCTAATGTAATAAACTTTAATTGAAGGCCAGAAGGAAAAATAATGATTGAATAAGGCAAGGGGACTAGCGTGGGGTAGAGGTATATGAAAGGTCATGTGTGTGGACCATAGGACAAGGGAACACAGCTTGTCTCTGGAACAGAAGCCAGTATGACTTCATCACAGGCAGTAGAGAAAAAGAAGAGCATGAGAGAGAACCAGTAAGTAGCCAGGGACCAGATGCCATAACAGAAAAAAACCCACAATCTTTCCTAAATCAATCTGTTTCACCATGGACTAGAGGAGTAAAACAAAGAATTTCCAATTCTTTTCAAGGTACTTTGAATTTCAAATATTCTGCTACTCTGCTTTCATAAAAAACACTTGCACTTGTCAGACTAGTTTGTCCTGATGTTTCTGTTGGGGAGAAAAAAAAGATTCCCAAGGAAGGATTTCTAATCCGTACATTTAAGAAAACCGACCATCGGCAGAGGTCATTGTCTTTAGTTTTTAATAGTCTGCTTCAATATGGTTTTCTTTGTTGTAAACTGCCTGGGGTATGCTGAGCTTTCAGAATCGGTGGGCTGATGTCTTTTACCAGTTTAGAAAATTCGTGGCCATTTTCTCTTCAAATTTTGTTTTTTTTTTTTTTAATTTTTATTTATTTATGATAGTCACAGAGAGAGAGAGAGAGAGGCAGAGACACAGGCAGAGGGAGAAGCAGGCTCCACGCACCGGGAGCCCGACGTGGGATTCGATCCCGGGTCTCCAGGATCGCGCCCTGGGCCAAAGGCAGGCGCCAAACCGCTGCGCCACCCAGGGATCCCCAAATTTTGCTTTTTTTTTTAAGATTTTATTTATTTATTCATGAGAGACAGAGAGAGAGAGAGAGAGAGAGAGAGAGAGAGGCAGAGACACAGGCAGAGGGAGAAGCAGGCTCCATGCAGGGAGCCCGACATGGGACTTGATCCTGGGACTCCAGGATCAGGCCCTGGGCTGAAGATAGCACTAAACTGCTGAGCCCCCCGGGCTGCCCTCAAATTTTGCTTCTGCCTCAATCTCTTTCCCCTCCTTTCTTTCTGAGTCTCCGATTACATTTATGTTCATCTTCTTGGCTCTGTGTCCCACATGTCTTTCCTGCTCTCTTCTTTCCATTGCATTTTTTTCTCTGTGCTTCAGTTGGAGATTTTTAACTGAGCTGTATTCAAGTCTACTCACCTTGTCTTCGCTGTGAATAATCTTTTGTTAGATCTATGCAATGAGTTATTCATTTCAGATGTTGTATTTTTCAGTTCTAGGCTGACCTTTTGCTTTTTTCTAAATTCCAATTCCCTTGAAATTTGCCTCTTTTTTTACCTATTTTCTGGGTTTTCCTCTATTTTCTTAAAGCATCAATTTTAGTCATTTTAAAGGCATTGTTTGCTAATAACTAACATCTGGATAATCTGTGGGTCTGCTTTCATTGTTTCTTTTTTCTCTTTATTATTGGTCACATTTCCGCTCTTCAGCATTGTCTAGTGTTTCTGATCCTATGCCAGACACAGTGTATAAAAGAACCAGAGATGACTTCTCTTTTCTCTGTTGGCAGGTATAATGAGAGAAATCACCTCAATCCAATTCAAAATTGAGATGGGTTGAAGATGGACTGCAATTTTAGCATGAGCCAGTCCAACTACGGTTCATCACTATTTCTTGGTCATGGCCCTCTAACGCTTCTGACTGAGAGCCTAGCATCCCTGAGACTCCTCAGCCCTGAGAGACTACAACAGATTCGGTACTGCCCTTTGGTGGTTTCAGCCCAGATCCCACTCCACACCCTTCAGAACGTGGCAGTATCTCGAGAGAGATGGTGGTGTATGGTAGCAGAGCTTCTCTTTCTGAGGTTTTGTCTCCTAAGCACCAGAAGACTGAGAGACTTCTTTATTCCTTTGGGGCCGCTCTCATTTCTTACATAATCAGCTAATGTCCTGTGAGAAAACTGGCCTTGTGTTTAGGGCTCCTCTAGTTTCCAATCCATCATACAAGTCCCAAACAACTGCCAAAAACTCTTCTTGTATCTCTTTCCTCCAGACAAATTCCTTTGTTTGGGCCAAATCTGTTCCTTAGCCTATGACTAGAATCAGCAAATGTCCCGTGGAAATAAAATGTCTGGTGATCATTCACTTAACTTAGGCAGAGTTCTAGCCTTTCTGGAGGGTATTTTAGTTCATATAGGCTTCTTTGCTTCCATAGCTCTCCAACCAAAAAACATAATTTTTGAAATGTATGAAAAGAACTATGGCCTAATGACGTAACAAAGTCAAGGAAAGTGTGTACCTGTGAGGACATCACAACTGGCAGACCGATTATTACACTGGCAGGGCAAGCAGCCGCTCTCACTAAAGCCATAATATCCATCTTGGCATCGATCACATGGAGAGCCGGTGACACCCGCTTTGCACTGGCATTTCCCAGAACTGCAAATAAAAGCAAAGACAACAAACAAAAGTAAATGAGTCTGAAAGTTTTGTTGCTTCACATCCCATCATAGATGATCTTAATGTAGAAATAGTTTCAACTAGATTCTAATCACAAAAATCATTTTGAGTTTTTTTTTTAATTAGGAGTTGAATAACTTCATGACTATATACATTCAATTGACATACTAACATGAATCATTTGTGACAATTTAATCCGCTGCATTTAGGTGGTTTAAAATGATTAATAAAGGAGCCATGGAGAACATAAGTCCCCAGTGCTTAGAAATCTTTGTTTACTGAGCAGTGGGGCATAGAAGTAGCAGCACTGCTACAGCTCATTCCTGGATTGTTCCACAGTTCCATCAGCACCCACTCTACCCAGCATGGAGAAAAGAAGAAACTCCTAGTCTTCACCCAACCTAGCTTCTGGCTGAAGAATATGAAGGCCAAGATTTTTTTTTTTAAGATTTTATTTATTTGAGAGCGAGAGAGAGAGCAAGCAAGTGAGCACGAGTGCAGAAGCAGGGAGAGGGGCAGAAGGGAGGCCCCTGTTGAGCCTGAGACGGGGGCTCTAGCCCAGGACCCCAGGAATACAACCCCAGCTGAAAGCAGAGCCATCCAGGTCCCCAAAAACCAAGATCTTAATGAATGTGTCAATTAATATCCATTTACATGCTGAAAATGACATACTTTTCTACTTTAGGTTTGGCTATATTAAAATCCTATTTCTGGCAATTAAACTGGAATCCACAGTTAAGTAAATATGATTGTAAGGGGGACCTCTATTGTTTTCTGGATTAAATCCATATAAAATTCTAGATTGTCAACCAAAAATGAAATCTAAAATCTAATGTAAGAAAAATAAGGGTGCCTGGCTAGCTCCGTCAGTAGAGTGTGTGATCTCAGGGTTGTAAGTTCGAGTCCATGTTGAATATAGAGATTACTTAAAAATAAAATCTTAAAAAAAATAAATAAAAAAAACAAAATCTTTAAAAAGAAAGAAACAGAGAAAAATGCTTTATCTAACAATGTGACTCTTCTTTATATGTTCATTCTGAACCTGAAATTTTTAGACTTTGTCTGAGCATTTCTCGGCACCAGCATATTGGATGGGAGACGATTTAAGGTAAAACTGCCTTTCGATATAATATTTTTAGAGATTTAGCTACTGATAATGAGCCCTCATGGGATTGTTAATTTCAGTTCAAGAACCCAAGCTCAAATTATTAATACTTACAGAGTTCTTACACATAGCAGTTAAAGTAATCCCCTACTAATTCCCATATTCCCATTTCTGTATTATAAACACAAGTTCCAAATTTGAGAGTTACTGACTTTTCAACTGAACTCTGCAGAACAGAAATAAAGCAACTTTCAACCATGTGCATTCTACTTGTAGTATACAAACCTAAGGGTTTTTTTTTTTTTAAATTTAAGATTTGCCTTTATTTTTTATGAGCATCCCCTGGGGTAAATAATGAGGTTTTCATCCTCCGTCCCTAAAAACTCTTTTGAGCAGCTAGAGTCAAAGTTTACTTTTTCTCCCACTTACAGTTCTCTGTGCTATCCCAGGCTATGCCAAAAAGGAGTAGAAAAGTAGAAAAACAGTTCTACATGGAATATTTTTAGGGTTTTACTCAAATAAAACCAGTCCAGAAGGGAAAGGAAGCCAGGCTTATGTAAATAATATATACTTTACATATTTCAAAGTCTTGTATCCTGAGATACAAGTTCTATGTATTCATAGAACTCTCTGTTCCTATCTTAAAGCTGTCCAGTGTATTAGGTTATGCAGTTGCTTGATTAACAAGTAGTTTTAGAGAAAATGTAAAACAGAGGCATCTGAAAGCAGGAGTGCTGCTGCAGACGACAATGATAAAAATAACGAGCCATCACTGATTGAGGGCCTATGTCACATAGGCCTGGAATATAGATATGTTCTCTAATCCTCAAAATAAACCCTACTAGGTAAAGTCCTGATCCTTGTTTTACTATTGAGGGAAATCAGAGAGGCTAGTTATTGTCCACACCTAGTAAGTCAGGCTGATTTATACAAAGCAAGACTTTTCCTGCTGTATCATGGTACCTACCACTCCCTAAGTCTGAATCGAAATTTGCACAAGAAATTTGCACACCAAACAACTTGATACCTACTTGGGTATCGAGCTTCATTCTGTAGATTCCAATCACCACAATTCACCATTTATTTAGGTTTTTCACCCCAGTAAGCTGTTTCTGCCTTGCCCAAAATAAACTCCACCTAAGAAAAGTGTTCTCTTTTCTTACTGCCAGTAAATTTCAGGTCTTCCTTAACAAAAGCTAAGAATTCTCATTGCTTGAAGAGAAACTGCAGCCTAGCAAGTCCGAGGTTCCTAGACATGCAAGCCCAAACACTGTGATGCTTTTTAAAGCTTAGTTACAATTTGTACTGATCATAGTGAAGAAGATGAGCCTTGATTTTAAAATGCAACAGAAATACACATTATCAAGTGTGTCTCTTAAGTAATTTCACGAAAGGAAAGAAAAGAAAGAAAGAAAGAGAGAGAGAGAGAGAGAGAAAGAAAGAAAGAAAGAAAGAAAGAAAGAAAGAAAGAAAGAAAGAAAGAAAGAAACCCAACACACACGTGTTTACACAAGACCATCCCAAGGTACTCAAAGATCTAGCAAAGTAAATCTGTATTCATCAAATATGAAGTTCAAGAATATGTTATTACTCAACAAGAAGGAACGAGTCAATCCAAGTCTATTTATAAAGGATATAATTGCCTTCCAAAGAACTGATAACATTTTATTAGCTGACTTCCAAGGCTTTAAAAATGTTAATCAAAATATGCTTGCTCCTCATTTCTCTATAGACAAATTATTCGGTAAACAGAAGAATAAACAGTCACTTTAAATGACAGTGTTTGCTGAACTCACCAACCTATAAGAAAATGATATTATCTTGGAATACCTAATCACTTCATAATATCCCATAATCATAATATAGTAAGTGTTCTCAAAGTAGTTGCTATCCCTGTAAGTGGACTTTCCCTTCATAATTCTGCTCTGCATATTCAAAAGACTGATTTAAGCAGGCGTCTCTCTCCCTGGAGAATATGTTCCTTAGTTGTTGAAGTTAAAAAAAAAAAAAAAACACACACACACACAACAAAGAAAACCCCATGAGTGGCTTTATGAATCCCAATAAAGTGATTGACTGGTCTAGATACCGTGCTTCACTTTTCCTGGGTAGATTTTAAAACAAGAAAGGAGGTGCTTTCTCTCTCTCTCTCTCTCTCTCTCTCTCTCTCTCTCTCTCTTTTTTAAATATAGAAGAGAGTGGGAAAGTTTGTTGTGAGACTGCGCTGGTAGTGCTTTCCATGTTACTCATGGCCCAGCGCCAATTTCTGCATGTATAAGAATTAAATCACTCAGCAAATATAAAGCTCTCCCTGTGTGACTTCTTTTACAGAATAAAGTCTCTACAACACCCCCTTTCATAGTCTCCCTCTGTTAAAGACTATTGAATGCTTTTTGAAGCAAAGGTCAACGATATAAATGCAATGAAATCAAAGAAGGGGTGGGGGTGGTGGGGTGGTGGGGAAAGTCGTGTTAACAGACCACTCATGCTTATCCATAGATTTGAAATGAAAGAACCCATAGCTTTGTATCTGGAAAATATTGGCATAGAACTAGATTTTGAACAGACGTCAGAAATCTATACTACTGAGTTAAACTAACAAGGAATTTAAGATAGAAATTGCTCATCTGGTGTCACTTTTTATAGACATGAGTTAGCTACTAGTAAAGTACTAATATAGTGTGGAGAATTATATCAGAAAGAAGAATACAGAGTTATTTATAAAGAAAGCACAAGCATTGTGCAACTAAGCCATACCAAGTATAACTAAGTATATACTATACATTTTTTAATTTTCCCAAATAGGATTCTCAGATTTTCTTAGGGTTTCAAGTGCTTAGTTATAGAATTTATCACACTCATAAGTGTGTAAGCCACTATTACACGGTTTGAACACTTAAAAATAATCCTTAAAGGGCACTTGGCTGGCTCGGTCAGAAGAGCATGTGACTCTTGATCCTGGGGTCATGAGTTCAAGCCCCATGTTGGATGTAGAGATTACTTAAATAAATAAAACTTTTAAAAAAATCTCTCTTAAAACATGAATAATATATTTTCTGACATGAATTCATTAATTTTTCAAAAGGGAATTCGGTAGTATATCACATTTCAAGATTTGGTACGTGTTTGTGTCATGCAAGTACTAACCAAAATGTCTTCTTAAAGGTTCTGTTCTGTTTAAGATGAGTAGATGGAGCATCTCCAGAATTTCCATTATTTTATAACAGTATTGACTAGAGTGGGAAGGGTGGAACACAGGGAGGAAGGTATCAGGGTCTATGGAAAATTCATAGCCTAAGGAGACAGAGCTTGGTTCATGTTCCAGCTCTGCTAGTAACGAGCTGGGACCACGGGCTTTTATTCTGTCTTAGACTCAGTATTCTCATTTGTAAAATGAAGACGATTATACCAAACTTTGTAGGGTTACTGTGAGAATTAAAGATGACATACCCAGGGTACTCAGCATAGCATCCGGCATGTAATCAATACTCAAGAATAAAAGAATTATGAAGATGATGCCAGTAATCCTAGATCCTGAATTTTTTCTGAAAATTATAGGAAAATGGTCTGGACTCTCTAACAGACAAAGGCAGACAAGGCTTTTATTTACTTTTAAAACTCTGTTAACAAACCTAGAAAAATTGCAATAATTTATGGGGTAATTGTTAGTTTGGAGCCAAAAGGCGGCTAGGAAAAGAACATTATGAAAACCTGGTAGAAATGATTTGGGGAAAGAAAATTCTAAAATTGAGAAGGGAGGGGTGCCTGGGTGGCTCAGTCGGTTAAGGCATCTGATTTTGGCTGGGGTCTTGATCCCTGTGTTGGGCGCCCTGCTCAGTGGGGACTCTGCTGGTACCCCCTCCCTTTGCCCTTC